TTAAACTCCGCACACTGAGCTCTGATTGGTCAGCAGGCAGTGCTTTCACTGAGAGTTGATCTCTTATCTATTGACGCCGGAAGCGGGCAGCGTCAAGTAAAAAAAGTTATTTAGCCTTCCCAAACCTGAGCCTCACGCGCCGCCTATGGTGACAGACAAGAATAGTCCATTCTAATGTCTAACACTTAATGTGGAGAAAGAGATGTCCTGTATGGGTTGATTGTGCGTTGATCTGTTGGTAATGCCTCGGGGTTCCGGTGGGCATGTAAACAAATGCATAATGCTGCGCTATACTTTGCGGCCTCACCCAGTTACATAGCGACACTTATTGTTTAGGTGTCTTTTGATAAGCAGGTAGTCCTAGTGATGGCAAAATGAAGCTTTTAATGAAGCGTCGAACCACTTGGACAATTGTGTCGGAATTAGGTTCATTTCTCGAAGCTTCAGTTACAGCGACCTCTCCTGGCGAAGTGCAAGGCTGCAGTGGGTTTAACGTATCTTTGCCTTGAAAAATATTCGATGCACACACACACTAAGACTGAATATCATGTTCTATTTGCAATTAAAGATTGATAATTGTGTGTATTGGGTTATTGAGAAGAGACTAGAGAGTGCTGGACATTTTTTTGGGAGGAGAGGGCCGTTTATCAGTTATTAAAGTATTAAAGTTGAAAAGCAATGATTAAAAGTACATCCATTCCAGGGTTTGAACCAGCTGCGCGGAGGACATCGCCGCATTCGGGCCTCCGGCTCGACCCACTGGGCTATCTATTCCTTAAACTATTGAACTGTTTTTATATTACTGATAATTGTCTTTTTGTTCACAACTTCTCCACATTTCAAAGTGTTTCCCGAGCCAGAACGACCTATCTTTCTTCCTGGCTTGCTCTATAATGATACTACAATTCAAATGCAATACCAACAACAACTCAACAGCAACAACGCAAACTACGACAACAATCCACACATTAGAGCGGTCATAAAGTGTTGAAGCGCTCAAATTTGAAACTGTTTCAACCTGTCACCTGTCAGAACCGAGACGAGGCAGTGCATTGAATCGCGTGAATGGACCGCAAACCAGTAGTGATTCATTCAGGAAATAAAGCAGTTGCTGCTTCGGACGTCACATGTCACGTGATTTGAAGCAGTTGCTGCTTCGGACGTCATGTGTCACGTGATTTGAAGCAAGCTTCGAAGCACTGCTTCTATGGAATAGGAAGTCCAGGGTTGAAGCTCCGTTCGAAGCTTCAGTGTCAAACTGCCATCTCTAGGTAGTCCTATCATTAGCTAGAACTAGCTAGATCTGATCGATATGGACATAAACGTGAGTGAAGTCTAATCTGACGGGAGAGAGAGATCAGCTGCTGAGTCGACACGCAGCTCTGCATGATCAGCGGTGAGCGGAACAAAACACACACTTCAGGTTAGAATATCACACGTAGCTATTTTAATGACCTCTCAAACTACCTAAACTAGTTATAGATATGTTTAGTTTTACTGTCGGGTCACTCATTACTGATCCGCGAGCTGCATGATACTGACGGGCTGTCAGGAGAGGGAGAGAGTGCCCCGTTATTCCCGTGTTATTGTAAATTACTGTAGACTTTTGAATAATGTAGTTAATCTACTATAATTAGTTTGTTTAATATCGAATCATATCAATTTGTTTTAAAGCTCAATAAATAACAAAGAAGACCTTTGACCAGCACTTTTCTCATTTTGTCCGGAAGATTTCAACTTTAACGGACATGTTGACCGGCAAAAAAATATTCTAACGGGAACTCTGGTGTGTGCGTGTGGGGAGTGTTGCAGTAGAACATTCCACTGTAGCGCCCGGTACCTTGATCGGAAACCCTACATCAGGGGTAGGCAAGTAAGTTTGGCCGTGGGCCAATTGAAGGGCCAGAACATAATCAAAGCCTAATTCAAGGAATTTATTTTGGTAAGAGGGCGCAGCGCCCCTGTTCCCCGGTTCAGAAAAAACTCTATCGCTGATGACCCTCCCCATCAACACTCTGATGCGCAGTCAGATCCACTGATTGGTTCACTGATGATATAGGCGCCCAATCCAGAGCCTCTGGCTAGACCCGCCCAAAGGGAGGCTCGTCCTCTCTAGCCCCATTTCAGTCCCAAATACAGGGCTATTATCTGTATTTTAACAGACTTATCTTTTAAATTGAGGTGTATTTATTGTTCTCTTCAAAGTTTATTTTTCTCTGAAATTTTAGGGAGGATGGTCCTCCCTTTCCTCAATGGACGAGCCTCCACTGAGTAAAGTAGAGTTATTAACTAGGTAGCAGTGTTATTTAACATACTTTTATTCTGAGTATTGTCAAGTTCTCTGGGTTTTTGGCATTTATTTGAGTGTTTGAACATTTGAGAGGCTTGAGGGGCAACAGAGGACGCATGGACAACTGGAATCCTTTTTCCTTTACTTTATTTAAACTTTTGAAGGACACATTAGAATTATTTCAGGTTGAAAACCTTTAAAAAAAATACCAAAGGACAAAATAAATCAATTACAGCATTTTGCTTTGCAATTTAATATATTATAACCTAAATTAATCAGTAACCAAGTATTTTACTCAAACTCAATGTATTTAATAGTTAAATAAGTACTTTAATTGACCTGGTTCCCCCCAATTTGCCATATGTGACCCGCTCTATCGAAATCAGTCGAAAGTCGCAACGGCTCATTTCAAAATAAACGTGGATTTGCGTAAAAAACTAGTTTTCGGGGATCGGGTGTTTTGTTTGATTTTAAATAAACAAAGTCTTGGCTTTCAGAATAAGACATTTTTATTTCCAAAATCACACGATAAATACATGTTTGAAGCTTGTAAAGGGAAGATGACAGCTCTCCCTCGCCACTCTGCTCTTCCACAGTGCCGCTTCCCCTCCCTCCGCTGACATTATGAATGTAAGCGGATATTTCGGGACAGAATTTATTTTACCGGACAAATTTGAAACTTACCGGTCATGTTTCAATAATAATAATAAGAATTGTGTAGCAGAGTTTCCGTTAGCAGGTAATCACCGGACTATGACCGGATATGTTGATGTTTAAAACTCAGTTAATGGGGCTCATTTTTATATTGCTTCAGTTTATAATCGTTACAGATCGAAAAGTTCAGATTCATTTTTCAATAAATGATTCCACAAACAACAAACAACATAATTATTACATTCAAACAAACTACTTGTAGTAGATAACGGACATTATTCAAGAGTTTACATTAACTTTGAATAATAACAGGGAGAAACGAATGCTCTCTTTTCCTCTCTCCCTCCCTCTCTCTCCTGACAGCCCGTCAGTTTCTCATGCAGCTCGCTAAACAGTGGGCGGGGCTTCAGGTGATTATGCAGAGCTGCGTGTCTCCATCAGACTCAGCAGCTGATCTGATCTCTCTCTCGGGTCCGGTTATACTTCACTCGCGTTTATGTCCATATCGATCAGATCCAGCTCTCCTGATCGGCCTTTATAGAGAGCACCGATCAAACTATTAAGAGTGAATATCAGCCGATAATGACCGGCGACCAATCAATCAGCGGCTTTTATGTTGTAAAAGTAAAAATAAAAATAAAAATCTCAAAATAATATTTTATTAGTGATTCTCAAAATTACGGGCAACATATTATTGCTGGCGGGCCCGTGGGCCGCCTGTTGCCGACCCATGCCTTACATGTTTGAGCACCCTCTATGAAACGTCAAGCTACCCCACAGCACCCCCAAAATACATCTCTGGCGCCGCCACTGGTGAGACTGGTTCATTCCTCAGAAGCTCACATGCTGTATGTGGAGAGCTTTGCTGCTCCTTTGTATCTCCACACAGTTGGCGTGGCTGAGGGGAAAGACACTGATCTGAGATGAGAGGAATCTCCTCAATAGCTTAAAGTGGCGATAGACTGCATTTTGCTTTAACTGATCATCATGAATAATAATTCATGTGAAAATCAGCAGACAGATATGACACGTTGCACAGTTTGTATGGAAACAGAGCTCTCTGTTAATACTCTCATATTGATTTGTTTCAGTATTTCATTATAAATATGAATTTAACAAATGAATAAGTATTTATGTTCCTGCGTGCTTCACCATGCTGTAGCATTCGGTTCACTTTGTTGTGAAAATGCTTCCGGTTGAAATGGTAAAAACCAACGGTGCTCCTTGTATGAGCAAAGAGCTTCATAAGAGATGATCAGCATGATCCAGATATCTCACAGAGCTCTGCTGTTCTGATTCAGTAAGACTAGTGATGGTGAGTCAGACGTCTTTGTTGTCCTAACATTTTCTCATGTTTCTTTTATTGTGTTTTTAGGAAACTAAGATATGGTAAAAACTAACATTTGTGAGTGAGGTCCACACAATGTGTTCATATTCATATATGAATATGCACACAATATGTCATGTGTGCTAACAATGACATATTGTTTATGTTTGGTCATCTATGTTTAGCTTCCTGTCCTTGTTATAGCAGCAATATGTCTATTGACAGCTTCCTCTACATGTTCACACACACTGAGACACCCGTTGCATATCCTGTGGCCAATCATTCAGAACATTTCAGTTATAAACCGAAGCTGTGTACACATCTGGAGAATGCTGGACATGCACAGGCGCGTTCACTGGTCAATACACTGAAATTTTAAATTCTATTCGTGGTGATTTCTACCAGGTCCAGTAGTCCTGAACTGAGCTGCACAAGATGAACAACTGAATAATATACAACATTTAAGCTTCGGATGAACTAAATATGAATGTATTAAGTGTAACCTCTGCTGAATGTGGAGGAACATCCCTGAGTGTTTGAGCAGCTTTTCACCAGAAAGAAAGAGGCTGTGATATGTAACTGATGCTCACCCTGCTGCAAGAGAGATAGTGTGTGCGTGTGTGCGTGTGAGTGTGTGTTTAAATGTTTAAGGTGTTGCAAACCGGTATAGAAACCGGTATGTGTTCTCAGGGTTTTCCTCGCTTCTGGAAAATCTGGTTCCGACTTGATGTGACTGCCTCACTGCGGTTCATGGGTCTGGATCGACACTGATAGTTATGATGGTCTCTAGGTCTGCTAACAGCACGGTGTGTATACCCCCCCGCCTGAGATTCTGTGCTGATCGACACGGACCCGAGCCCCGCACCGAGTCACATGACAGGGATCAGACCCTGCGCGAGACACGGAGCTAAAGCAGCGGCACTTACCAGGGATCAGGAGACAGCAGGCGGACCGGAGAACAAGACCAAGACAAGAGGACCGACCGAGCGCAGCAGCTCCGGGTGTGTGTGTGTGTGTTTACAGTGTGTGTGGTCTACTGCCAGGCCTGTCTCTGACGGGGAGGGGCTTATTCTCTCTCCTGTTCCCTGTCAGAGAGAGTCACTCCTCTTTCCTTTATGTAATAACGATGGTTATAACACAAGTTATTGCACTTCATCACGCTGGTCCTGTTGCTTTCCAGTGCACCGGCGTTAGGACTGGGGGGGATGTTTCGTTGAGATGTTTGTTCAAGCTCGAAAAAGGTGTGTTCACAACACTCAACAGTATTTTGCAAATGTGTATAATAGATGTCATAAGGGTCATGCAAAAAGTCTATTAATATTTCATTTAGAGAGAGAGAGAAAGAGCGAGAGAGAGTTCCTTGTCAAAACAAGAAAGATAAAAGTTCTTGCTAATGTTTAAAATGTTGCGGTTTGTTTATATCAGGAGTATCCAAACTACGGCCCGTGGGCCAAATGCGTTCCGCGGACCATTTTGAATCGGCCCTCAGCAAATTAAAAAAGTCTAATGAAATATGGCCTACAAATGAATCTTCTGCTTGTCTTATTTCTAAGATATGTTCAAATATATTACACAGTATTCATGTGTTAATAAGCCCAATTTACAAATCTAAGTTCATAAGAAATAAGCCCCATAACACATGTAAATAAGAACCTTGAAATATACCCTTCATATTTCCTCTTATTATCGGCAATCTGAAGCTTCTGTTTTAAGGAATGAACACAATAAATGAAACGAGCTTTGAGGTTGTTTTTTTCTTAAGGCATTTTCAAGTATCAAGAATAGTTTACCTACATTTGATGGATTTGGCTAACTTCTAACTTAACTTATGAGGCAATATACTTCTAGTGAGTGGCCCAGCCCTTCGTATGTTTTTCTGTATGTGGCCCTCGTGAAAAAGGTTTGGACACCCCTTGTTTATATGTATGTATTTGTGTATAGATGTTGCAACTATACAGAGCTTTAGCAATACTGTATGTTACTGTGGTCATGACTCATGCTAATAAAGCAAAGGCTCTCCTGTGCAGACGGAGGTCCTCCCCCAGGGGGCAGCCCTTCTCTTTCTTTGGTTCATGTGCTGAAACTTTGGGGCACTAATTATTCATTTTCAATAATGGTGATTTTTAACTGATTACATTTATCCAATCTTATTGTTGAAATGTTAATTGAAATTACCTGAAAACAATATGCCAAGTTTCAGCTCATGGCATCACAGTATCCACTGAGCCATTCAAAGATTACGTAAAATATAAAGAATAATGTATTTAGTATGACAAAGTTTGACATCATTATAGCTCATTCTGACGGCCTTGAGGCTGCAGGTTGGCTGTCTGAGGGTGGTGAAGGGAAGATAACAGTCTCTGGTGAATATACATTACTTTTTTTGTTGAATAATGACAGAAACATACCTTTTGGATTTTGAATTTCCCATTACATTTCCGCCTATGATTCATGTGTGTTAAAGTGTTAATATGACAAAGATGGTAAATTGTATTGATATAATCTTTTTTCCCCCAGAGATACATGTGATACGGCCAACATCGCCCCTTCAGAGGAGCCAACATTGTCACTTTTTGTTATGGGAAGGTTCCAAACATCAGCCAAAAAGAATAAATTATAGTTTTGATTAAACATGGTTTTGCTTTTTTCTACCTAAAGCAGGGGGTGGGGGGTTGTTCCTCTATTTAATGTATGACATGCTCTCGTTTAGTATTCATAAATACATATTTTGTAAGTAAAGAATACATATCAGAGCCACAGATATGCTCAGTGAATATGAATGACCAGTGCTGCTGGTGAAGGAGTTCATGCAGCATGGGACTCTGGAGCTTCTTTAGGTGAGAAAGGGTTCTAATACAGTAAAGATAGAGCACGTCATGTAGTTTGCACACAAAGTATGAAATCAAAAATGTGTGCAACAGACATTGACTATAAGGTTAAAGACAATATTTTCATATCTGTTTTGTAAGATGTAAACGACAACATTTGTATGAAAAAGTGGGTCTCCTGAAAACTGTAAAGGATCAGTGACCCGTAGCTGGATCAGAGGACATGTGGCTGAGCACACACCTGATGGCATGCTTACAGATCCGTCGCCCTGAGCAACACACACCGCCAGCATGGGATCCAGAAGAGTCTCCATATCCAACAGATATACTTCACTAATATGTTTCTGTGTCAAACGAGCTGTAACATTGATGAGATTCCTGCACACGCAGTTTGTTATTATTCTTATTATCTTGTAATTACAGCTTTTGTCAAGCATTAAACTCATAAATCTGCTTCTGAAGTCAAAGAAGACAAAAAGACTTAAAAAATATGCAATTGAGTTTCTTCCAAATACCAAATTAAGGACCAACTTGTAGGGTATGTGTTCTGCAACACTTTATTCAACATTATACAAAGGTTACTGTTCAAACATCAAACGTTCTCAGTACAAACCTGGAGAACTTCCATTTACTATAAATATCTTTATGTTCAAGAATGCATAAATCTAGTTAAAAAATAAATTATTCTAATTTCCTGAAAAAAAAGTCCCTTATAAACTATATTTATTTTTTGTTTCCATCTTGAATGTAGTAAATGGTTTCATTCTACTTATTTAGCAAACTGAACTCCTAACAGGATCTATGAATGGGAACATGTGGAGTGGGGGGCTCAGCGTTCAAACTGCTACCACAGGCAGACTCAGGGGGAGGGGTCCGCTCAGATGGCGTTGGGGCGGAGGTCACCTTCCACAGCTCCTGAAAAGAGGAAAACATGTCACTTCGATGTTTCTGTGTTTTCTTTTTCATTTGTTCACATGTTCAAAAAGTACATTGTTCTCCCAGTAAAGAAAACGTGTTATTCTTGCTTTTGTTAAAATAAATAAATAATGAACTTAACCAACATATTATATTGTCCAAATGTATATTTGTGGTTATTGTACAAAGCTTTGGCAATACTTTGTCATTATGGTCATGCCAATAAAGCTATTCGAATTGAATTGAATTGATGATAATGTACGATAAGAGGAGTTCTCAGAGAAATTCATCTCTGCATCTGATCCTGAGCTGCAGGAACTAAAATACATTTTCAGGCTGTTCTAAGTCAGGACAGCAGCCTAACAATTCCTAATAGCTAACATTAGCAATCCCTCTCAGAATAGTGTTAAAGAGCAGAAAGTACTGTGGTAACATGGAGAAACCCCCCACCCTCTGTATGGGGTCAGATCAGTCTCAAAAATAAATAAATGCACACAGAAAGATACACAAATGTAATTCCGGATTTATATATAAATGTCTCCATATCCACACATATTCTTCAATGCACACGCAAAAACGTATCATTTTATAAATGTAAAAAAGTTTAACAAATATATTTCTGATCCACACACAAATAGTTGCATCAAAAACATATTTCAGTGTTGTTACATTTATATAAAAAACGCTTTCTGTGTGTGAATCTCTCTGCATTTGGGTGTGCATTTTTGAGACTCCCCTGACACCGCTAGATTCACACATACATTTTTTTAAGAGGCAAGTGTCTTCGGCCAATCCCCTTTTCCACCAAACCGGTTCCGGTTCAAGATCCGTTCTGGTGCTTAACTGGTCCTTCTCTGTAGCACCACTTGTGTTTCCACCACTCAGAGCCCGACTGGTGCTGCGTGATGACATCAGTGTGTACGTCTCTGATTTTCTCCCCAACGCCGCCAGTAGCGCGGCGTGGGGAAAAAAATTAGGGGAAGCCAATAATACGTGCTTTCTTTTGGGTCGGGGGTGTGGTGGTCAATGTGATAACGTAACCAGATGAATGATTACAGCACCCGGTATCATTTTACACACATTTGTATCAGATGCAGGACTCACACACGCCTGTTATCTAACCGACAGGCAGACGCACTCTCCAGCCGAAACTCTAATAAGCATTCATTCACAAACTAAATCAGGAGACCTTTAACGTTTTACGTCCGATTCGATCCTTTTTTCCTCGCTGTACAGAGCTCCAGTTTGGGCATTGGCCTGGCATCAGATTGTATTTGTTGTTGCTGCTGTAGCGGAAGTTTAGTACAATTATTTTTGATGAAATACTCAAAATCTCCACCCTCCATAATTGCACTTGCTTCAGTTGCTTGCTACTTTCTAACGGCGGTGAGAGTGGTGCAGTGACGCTATCTATCTTCTATCGATTAGATTTATGATTCGGAAATGATAAAAGTAGGGTAGACCTGCTTATCTTTCTGACAGTGCAGACGCTTTTCTGCTTGCTCCTGCCTCTGCTTACTTTTTATGCTGATTTTCCTATTCTTATTCTCTGAAAACTTCGAGCAGCGGCTCCTGGACATTAACTTATCACTGGGACAGTTCATCTTCGTAAATAGACGGAGGGTCTCAGCCATATTTCAACATTTTTACGACGACGTCAGTCTTACAATAGCGTGGCCTAGCAACAGCTAAAGCCTGGTAGGCTACTGCTATTTAGCTAGTTGGTAGCAAAATGCCTCCGTTCTCTACAGATGACTTCCAGAAACTTATACAGAAGATGGCTGTGTTGGAAATGAAAATGCAACGGTTGGAAGTTAACGTGGAAGTGAATGGACTATGTCGTGGGAATGACACGACTTTACCAGTGTTGCAAAATAATGGAGAAGGGTATGCTAACTCACAGCTAGTTAGCAGCTACAAGGATTCCAAGGAACAGGAGGGCTGTGTACCGGGTAATAAATCTACAAGTGGTAGTCCTCCCTGGAACTCTCTGGGTGCAAAGCCTAAGAGTAAATCATTTCCATGGGATTTGGGAGGACGGATAACAGGCAGAGCCCAGAGCTCCGAAATCTGTGATGGCCTGTATTGTTACCACCCAGGAAGAGCGCCTCTTCAACCCCTATTCATACTAGGAAACAGCAGTGGACAGCTGCTAAAGGGAGAATTACAAACAATCCTCCTAAACCACCAAGTGTGCCAATCCAGAACAGATACGCTCCGCTGACCGAGAACCGGAGATCTGATGACCTGGATAACCTGTCCTCTTCACGCAGCAGGGTAAGGACCAATAGCTACTCTAAAAGTAAAAGGCTAGAGGGAAAGCTAACGACTGGGCCTGAAACTCTGATTGTGGGTGACTCTGCTGTAAGAGATGTAAAAGGTCTGTGTAGTAAGAACAACACCAAAATACTCTGTTTTCCCAAGGATGTGGTCTCTGACTCGGCTGAGAAGATCCTGCATATTGGGGCTGAACATCCGACTGTGAAGAATGTGGTACTGCACATTGGAACAAATTATGTTGTGAAACAACAGTCAGAAGTGCTGAAAGAAGACTTTAAATGTTTGTTGGAAACTGCCAGCTCTCTAAATGCAGAGGTGTTCATCAGTGGCCCTCTACCGCCAGTCAGAAGAGGAGTGGAGAGATTCAGCAGATTGTTTGCACTGAACACCTGGCTTTCAACGGCCTGTACTGACCATTCTGTTCATTTTATTGACAATTTTAACTTTTTCTGGGATCGCAGACATCTTTTCAAGGCAAATGGAGTTTGCCTGAACAAGTCAGGAGTGAAATTGTTTATCTCTAACATATTCAACTGCCTGCGTCATCAATCTGTTCCCTCTGCCAAGGACAAGCGGCAAGAGGAATCAAAACAGGAGAAAGACACAACACATCACGCAGAAAACCCTGAAGAATTATCACTGCACCCGCCTGAGGAATGTTCTGATTATGGGAGACCTATGAGACAAGTGGAAGAGTCTCCACTGCCCCCCCCCCTGTCAACGCCTTTGAGGATACTCCGTTCACCCTTTCACCCTCGCCCACCCTCCTGGAGATCGATGAACACACAAAGGAGATACAGAGGGCTGGCACCGATTCCTTCCTGGAGTTCAAAGACCAAACGAAGGCGATACGCAGGGCTGGCACCATGTCCTTTACCCCCGCTCCTCAACGACGCCCACCAAAATCACCGCGGAGACGCGCACCATCTCCCCCGTCCTCATCACCGCGCCTACGTCAACCACCTCCCCCCCCTGGCAGCATGTCCTCTACCCCCGCATCATCTCGCCCGTCTCCATCACCGTGCCTACGTCGACCACCTCCCCTCCCTTCGAGGGGGCATCTGCAGTCTCCGAAGCCTGATAAGGATGTGTGTGTACAAAACACAACAAACTCTTACTGATATGTGATGGGTCCAGGCTCAAGGGCGTATGGCACTCTCAACTCTTTCCAGGACAGGTCGGGGCCATGCCTGCCAGTAGCTTTGCCGATATCTGTGTTGATAGGTAATAGATTAAGAGCGGTGAATCATAGAAACAGGAAGCGCTCAAACGTTTGTGTGAGTGTATCTAATTTAGCAGTGATTCCATGTCAGCCACAGCTTGTTACAAAAAACATGACTGATAGTGTGTTTAACAAACTTAAACTAGCTTTATTAAATGTCAGGTCTTTGGCAGGAAAAACATTTTTAATCAATGATTTTATCACTGAGCACAATCTCGATTTTATGTTTTTAACAGAAACTTGGATTGAACAAAATAACAGTGCAGCTGTTCTTATCGAATCAACCCCTCCCAACTTTAGTTTTATGAGTCAGGAAAGAATGCATAAGAAAGGGGGTGGAGTTGCTATTCTGTTCAATGATTCCCTTCAATGCAGGAAGACATCGTATGGAAACTTTGATTCTTTTGAATATGTGGCCCTTCAGCTGAAATGCTCCTCTCGAGCTCTGTTCCTAAATATCTATAGACCACCCAAATACTGTGCAAGCTTTTTTGATGACTTTACTGAACTGCTGTCTATAGTGTGTATTGACTTTGACCGTCTAGTCATTGTTGGTGATTTTAACATCCATGTTGACAACCCCCAGAACAGAGGGGCTAAAGAACTGTTTTGTGTTCTTGATAGCTATGGACTGACTCAGCATGTGACGGAGCCCACGCACAATAAGGGGCACACTCTAGACTTAATTATCTCAAAGGGTCTGAATATCTCTAAGGTTGTGGTGACTGATGTTGCACTCTCTGACCATTCCTGTGTTTTCTTTGAGAGCTCTATTTCTGTTCACAAAAATGTTCTAAAAGAGGTAACCACAAAGCGATATTTAACTGAAAATACTAGGGAAATGTTTACTCAGAATTTCTCTTCCACACTTGCCCCTGCCAACATCTCAGTAAATGAGCTAGTAGATCATTTTAATTCAAAAATTAAAAATGTTATAGATGCCATTGCTCCAACTAAGGTAAAGGAAGTGACTGGCAAGAAAATATCTCCATGGAGAAAGGCCATGACCGTGAAAACAGAAAAAAGAGTGTTGAAAAGCTGAACGCAGGTGGGGAAAAACAAAACTCCAGGTTCACTTTGAAATCTATAAAGAGAGACTTGGCCTTTATAATTTGGAATTGAAAAACGCACGACAATCGTTCTTCTCTGACATCATTACCAAAAACAAAAACAACGCACGTGCCTTGTTTGCTACCGTCGACAGACTAACTAACCCCCCAGTGTCAGTAGCCTCTGAATTTCTATCCACCAGGGCGTGCAATGATTTTGCCTCCTTCTTCACTGACAAAATTCAGAAAATCAGACAAGCAGTCAGTGCCTCTGCATCAGGTACAGCAAATGTGTTGTCCCTATCTCCACTTAACATCAATTCAGACATCATGACACAATTCCATCAGATTAATGATAAAAACCTAGAGGACATTATACAACTTCTGAAATCCTCCTCCTGCTGCCTTGATATTATTCCAACAGGATTTTTCAAAGATGTTTTGCCTTG